ACCTGCAAAGGTAACTTTTGTCATAAGCCATTATAATATTCCAATGCGAGACTTAAAGAAAATCGTTGAATAATGTCGCTAAAATCATCTAAATACCGAATATCGGGAGATACCGTTACATGGGGGCTATACGAAGACGTGGACCTGCACAGAAAATTTTCTGTCATAGGCTCTAGTATTCATTACGAACTTCAAATACTAAATATAAAATAGTTCCGGTAAATAATGCCGCTAAAGTCATCAAAATACCGAATATCGGGAGGTACCGTGATATGGGGGCTATACGAAGACGTGGACCTGTACAGACAATTTTCTGCCATAGGCTGTAGTATCCATTACGAACTTAAAATACCAAATTTGAAGCAATTCCGGTAAATAATGTCGCTAAAATCATCAAAATACCGAATATCAGGGGGTACTGTTATATGGGGGCTATACGAAGACGTGGACCGGCACAGACAATTTTCTGTCATAGGCTGTAGTATATATTACGAACTTCAAATACCAAATTTGAAACAATTCCGGTGAATAATGTCGCTAAAATCATCTAAATACCGAACATCGGGAGATACCGTTACATGGGGGCTTTACGAAGATGTGGACGTACATGGCCCATTTTCTGTTTTAGGCTGTAGTATTCATTACGAACTTTAAATACCAAATTTGAAGCAATTCCGGTAAATAATGTCGCTAAAATCATCAAAATACCGAATATCAGGGGGTACTGTTATATGGGGGCTATACGAAGACGTGGACCGGCACAGACAATTTTCTGTCATAGGCTGTAGTATATATTACGAACTTCAAATACCAAATTTGAAACAATTCCGGTGAATGATATCGCTAAAATCATCAAAATACCGAAAATCGGGGGGTACCGTTATATATGGGTTATACGAAGACGTGGACCTACATGGCCCATTTTCAATACCAAAAGTCATGCAGACATAGTGCACATTTGGGTAAATTTTTATCAACTTACTTTATTTCGTTCGGAAGCTAGAGTGATTTCTATAGACGGATAAACGGACGGACATTGAACGGAATGACAAACTTAATATACCCTCCATACTATGGTGGAGGGTATAAAAAAAGTAATTTCAAAGACATATAATAAGATGGGACAATATATTGTTACTTTTCTGCAATAGATGGCGTTGGTAGTGAAAAAATATGTTATGTCACGATATCGTGAAATAACATTATGTTTTAATTTAACAGAGCTGACGCTTTTTAAGGGTTGTTGTTGATTTTATCGATTCAATGTACAAGGAAATGCTCTGGAATAGATTTTTGAGAGCATGTCTATCATACCTGATATTCTTTTCCGCGTATTTCCGCCATTTTTCGCCGATATCGGAATAACATATTTTTCTAAAATTTCCAATGCATTTCTGTTATGTCGCCTGCCATCTTTTACCTGATGGAAAAATTAAAGCCCATATGCATTTTGTCCAGTCTTTATAGTTTTATGTCTTTGGTAATTTGTGAGAAATTGTAAAATCACTGTACAGATGGCGCTAATAAACAATTATAACCTTTCCGAGATGTTTCGTACTCTTCTAAGGCGTAATTTCGGACAGAAGGATACACGGTTTCCTATAATTAGAATGTAAGGAACTCTTACTCAAGAGAATCGCTTTTCTCAGTGCTCCTGAAAGTATGCATTATACCTTCACAAGAAAGGAATTAATAAAATGTATATATAGACGTCGTTCCTTTTTTGATCCGCCTATAAGTATGCAATTCTAAAAAATATTTAATGAGAAATATTAAAACTGATATGTAGATGGCGTTTCTTGTGCTGTTAGACCTTTCCGGTATGTTTCGTACTCTTCTAAAACGCGATTTCGGATACAAGGGTCTACAATTTCCTAGCACAATTCTGATTTCACAATGGCTTGAAATAGAAAAACTGATGCCATGATAATTTGAATTTAAAAAATTTTAACAATGTCTCTTCCTGGTCCACCTAAAAAGTATGCTTTATAGAACAGAAAAAGGAAGCCAAGGAATTTAAATATTGATATATAGATGGCGTGCCATCGACTCTACGATACAGAATCCAATTTTCCTGGAATGTAGCAGGATAAGACCTTATGCACCTGAAATTCGGCAAGAATATAACATTTTCTCAAGCTATTCGGCTGTCACAGAGTCAGACTAAGAGTACTGGTTCCACGGTCTTTTATACCTCGAGATTATGGAAATCTAACAGAACAGAGCATCTTATCTACATATAGATGGAGTTCTTTACAGGGCACTGCAATTCAGCATTCAATTTTCCAGGACAAAACCCCAATTTTTATCACCACCCTTTTAATATTTTCAGGGAGGAACGAACGAGCGGCCCTAAGGGGCCTTGGGCATTGCATACTTTAAGTCGAAGAAAATTGATTTTTATAGTTCGACTAAAAATATGCCATATGTTATGAAAAAATAAGAATTTGGAATATATTCAAATTGTTACATAGATGGCGTTCCCTACAGCGCAAAGAGGTTCCGAGTTCAGTTTTCCTTGCCAAAACCCTTATTATTTCGTCTATGGTAGCTACTTTTAGGAGAATCAAATAAAAGATTGAGAAGAATCTGGCAACTGTAAATGAATATGCAATGCATTGCACCCATCCCTTGCTTTTTGATATACAATCCGGTATTTAATGAAAAGCAAGTAACAAGAAAAGGAACGCCATCTATACTTCAATCTAAATCCATGCATAATGAATGGATATGCTAGGAAAGGCTGTTGAAACATTGAAAGACATTCCTATGGAAATAGAGATTTCTGTTCTTTTGTGACTTCTAAAGAAATTTGACGAGGAATATTTTTTGTTTCTGACCTCATCCTTCTAAAATTATGTTTTGGCGGATAATTTGGCATAAACTCCCATAAAGTACGGCTTTAACCCTAAAATGTCAAAATGTATCGTGGGACATATAGTAGATTTTTATAAAAAATAATTTTGTAGATTATTTAGGCTTGCTATTGGGTTTTTAACCAAAAGGACGAAGAAAATCCTTTAATGACCCGGTTGAGGGTTAACATTTTTAAAGTAAATAATCCATGTATTGTTTATTCCTCTTTCGAGAATAGTGCAGTGAAAAGAAAAGCCACGCATTGTTATCAGTAACATTGCAGGGGACACTGTATACAGGGTGAGATAAAACAAAACTGCAACAAAGTCAAACGCCATAATTTTTACATTTTTTTAAATTTTCTTGAATGAAAGCAATAATTATCGGAAATACCACCAACTTTTAAAAATAACTTTAGATTTGTTCGAATTGGTCACCTTTGGCACGAATTATGGCGTTCAAACAGCCAATGAAACCATCACAGGCTGACCAAATGTTGCTCTGCGGTATTTTGGCCCATTCCCGAAGAAGCGCCTGCTTGAGGTAATCGACACTTTGTTATTTTTTAGTGCCAACCTTGCTTTCCAAAATACTTTAGAGACAATAGTCCAACGGATTGGTATCCGGTGATTTTGTTGGCCATTGTGCACTGGAAATGAAGCGAGGAACCTCATTTAGTAACCATTCTTGGGTGGCGCGTGCTGCTGAGTGCGATGGTGCTGCTAAGTCCTGTTGGAATGTCCAAGTTCTGCGTCAAAATGTTTGCGTGCCCAAGGCTTTAATACACCCTCCAGAATATTTTCGCGATAATATTCGGCATTTATTCTGATGCCACGGTCGAGTGGAAAGCGACCATCGGCTGTTATGGCGGCCCACACCCCACTGTCACCATAGCCGGCGCTTGAGTTCTGGTGACCAACCGAGGGTGCACATTTTCAGCTAACCTCTTTGGCAAGTAAATACGATCATTCTGTTTGTCTACAAACTGCTGGACAACGAATGATTTCCCATCGGAGACGGAGAAAAGCAAATTCGGCAGTTCGCCACTTTCGCCCAAGCGAAGCAACTGTTTAGCTCTTTTTTTAGTCTATTTTCTTTCTGTTGCGGTGTAAGTTCTTGCACTTTTTGGAATTTCAGTGGCTTTACCCCGAGCTCGTTTTTCAATATTTGCCGAATGGAATATTGCGATATGTTCAGCTCACGAGCCATTTTTCGGCCATTGCGAAGCGGGTTTCGATCAAGTCGCTTCGTTACTTTTCGAAACATTTCTGCTGATGTTGCTGTTTTCTTCCGTCCACTTCCTCGACGTCGGGCTCCGATACAAGTATCACGGTAACGAGCGATGGTACGAGACACAAAAGATTTATTCACATTTAAATGCTGGAGTGCTCTAACGATAACCACCACTTGTGGTTTTCCAGCCAAATATAAGAAAATCACACTATCACGCTTGAATTCCATCACGAATAACTTTTTTCTCGAAAATTCTCACCAAAATGCATTTTTACGCTTGTAAACAATATAATGAGCTGTCACTGGAATAATTTTAACAGCTGTCGGACGAGTGACTTAGAAATGACAGCAGTCTGAAGTTGGTTGCAGTTTTTTTATCTCGTCCTGTATGTCTTCATCTGATTTCGAGTTTATTTTTCACCAAATGGTTAATATAAGGTCGAATTGAATGGATTTTGGCACATACGAACGAATTTTGGCCTGGAAAAAAGTGGATCCAATTTGGTGAAAATCGGTTAAGATATAGCTATGGGTCCCATATATATGTTTCATCCGATTTTGTATTTTACTCCCGCACACCCAAAAATACTCTCCACAACAACGAAATTTGGTGCCAACTAACCTATATAGCACAGAAACACCTCAGCTAAATTTTAAAAAAAATCAGATTCAGATTTAAATATAGCTTCCATATATATCTTCATCCGATTTCATGTTTATTGTGCCAAAAAAAGTGTAATATCAGTTCGAAGAGGATGGATTTCGATTTATATCGGTTCTTTACTGGTTATATTTGATTTTTAGATTTCCCATATTTCAGCCTTACCCTAGGCCGAAGTTCAATAGAGGCCTTAATTAAATCTTTCCCATGTTATATATTTACCCTTTTTTTCTCTTTTCTTATCTTCCAGGTATTATTAAAGGTGATGAAATTATGGTTATAAATGGTGCTATTGTATCCGATTTGGATATGATGTATTTGGAGAGTGTGCTGCAGGAGGAGCAATCGCTAAGCATGATGATGAGGTAAGAGGACGCACACCCACCCCCCTCCTCTAAGAAACATAAAATTTAACTCAAAAATCTTTCCTTCCACAGATCCTCACGCACGGAACCCCCAGATCTAGGCAGTATTATGCGTGTTACCGATGATATGATTGAATCGCTGGTGTGTCCACCACCACCCACAGATCCGCCGGTGATGAGTGAAGAAATGATAACGGGTCTAATTGTACCGGCACCGGGTTGGAGTAAGTATTTGCAGGCCACAAAACATAATTTTGTCATTTATGATTATTTGTCTGAGGTGATAAAAATCTCAAAACAACAATAAAAATAATAATTAATAATTGTTGTTGTTGTTGTTGTTTCTAATAAGTGCAACTATCCATAGATGACTGGCAAAAAAAAAAAAAAACAACATGCCACTCATACAACAACAATTACTCTCAACATTTAATGGCATGAAAGCGTGCAACATGCCATACAACCTCAATGCTACCTCTCCTCGTCCTCCTCCTTCTCCCCCACCTTGATGCGGTTATCATGGTGATTATTATGCGCCCGGCATATCTCCCGGGCCTGTTTATTGGAAACAAAATAATAATGACGACGACAACGTTGACGATGGCAATCAGTTGTTAACCCTTCAACGGCAAACCGATGTTGCAACATCATGTTGTGGTGGCATTTAGCCGATTGTCGAGTAGTCTCCTCAACTCCCACTCCAAATGCAATGTGGCCACAATTTTTTTTGTTATTTTCGCCCATTTAATTGATAATAATAACAGTTGTTGGAGTACTTGTCGTTAGTTTGAAGAGCTGCCATAATTGCTGTATTTAAAGTGTTTAGGAGTGGCAAACAACAGCCGTATCCGTAGGAGCAGCAACAGCCACACGAAAATTAACATTTGGCAGGTGAATGGACATCAGCGGGTCAACAGCAACAACAACAACAACAACACGACGAGTCATTAAAAGTTGTTGTTGTAGGGGTTTTATTCATTCAAAATTTTTATTTGCGGGAATTTAATATTCCGCCACACATAATGGGATTCATGTGAAATTCGTGAGCGATGATTTTCACCTCTCTGCACGTTAGATATGCCATTAGATTCATATCGCAGATTTGATGTGAAGGTAAACAAAAGTTATTTTCCGGAACTACCCAGAGATGAGTGGGGTTATCACATGTTACCATATGGAAGCGGGGTGACATGCCTGTCCGAAGAGAGATGATGAGATGGTAGTAGGGATTTAAGTTTTTACTATTTTAGCTTTCAACAGAAAGCACGACCTTTTGTCCTTTCTATGAGGTCCAATTAAATAAAACTTGATTTTTAACTTTGCAAATCAAAGTCGGCATTATCTTGAATTTAGAATGTTAGACCTTCTAAGTCCGATTTTTTTTATTTTGTAATGGACGTTATTGAGGGAATAGACAATCGAAGCTAAGGCGCATTGACCCTTGCCCTGTCTCATAAAATCTGTGATTTAACAAGTTAAAAAGCAGTAAGTTCGGCCGGGCCGAACTTTAAAAACCCTCTACCATTTGGAACGAATTTAGAAATTTTCAAAAAATAAATTCCTTAAAAACATCTGTTAAAATTTTAAAAATACCGCATATAGCCGTCTGTCTATTCGACGTGGACCTACATAGGTATTGTTTGTCATAAGCCAATACCATATTCAAATTTGAAACTTGAAATAAACGGCGATTAATGTAGCTAAAATCATCAAAATTGCGTATATAGGGTGGTACGTTATATCGGAGCTTTACGAAGACCTGATCCTGCATAGACAATTTTCTCTCACAGGCTGTAGCATCCATTACGAAGTTCAAATACGACATCTTAAACAATTTCGGTGGGTATTGTACCTAAACTTGTAAAAATACCGAATATTGGGAGGTACCGTTATATGAGGCCTATACGAAGACATGGACCTGCACAGATAATTTTCTGTCTTAGGCTGTAGTATCCATTTCGAACTTCAAATACGACATCTTAAATAATTTCGGTGGGTATTGTACATAAACTTGTCAAAATACTGTATATAGGGAAGTACTGATATATGGGGCCTATACTAAGACCTGGACCTGCATAGACAATTCTCTGTCAAAGACGAACTCTAAATACGTAATTTGAAACAATTCCGGTGAATAATGACGCTAAAACCATCAAAATACCGAATATTGGGAGGTGCCGTTATATGGGGGCTATATGAAAACGTGGACCTACATGGTCCATTTACGAACTTAACCTGACTACTGGAAAAAGAAACATGTGTGCAAAATTTTAGCCTTCGTTCGAAAGATAGCGTGATTACAACAGACAGACGGACAGACAGACAGAAGGACGGATATCGCTAACTCGACTTAGAATTTTATGCTGATCAATAATATATATACTTTGTTGTGTCTGACATGAGTATTTCGAGGAGTTACAAACGGAATGACAAAGTTAATATATCCTCCATAGTATGGTGGAGGGTATAAAAACCGAAACCCGATTTGTAATTTTCAAAAATTAGCCTTTAGACTTCTCAACATAATCAAATCGAACATCGACTGACATATCCTTAGATTGAGGGTGCTATTCCTGATCATTCCTGGTTCCAGGTAAAAAACACATTTACTTCCCAAGGAAGTGTCTCCCTCTCCGTTAGGAAAAAACCCTCTCTTTTGGTTATAATGAAGAGACGAATGTTCTGATTTGTAGAGGAAATTGTTCTGGACTTCCTTGAAAGAAAATTTTTTCCACCTTCACAGAAGAAGGAACATTTATCTCCCAAGGAAGTACCTCCCTCTCCATTAGGAAAAACTTCGATTTCGGTTATAATAAAGAGACGAAAAATCCTGTTTTGTAGATTGAATTATTTTGGACTTCCGTGAGAGAAAATCTCTTCCATCTTCACAGAAGAAGGAATATTCGATTTTCATAGAGGCGATCTTCCAAAGAAACAGGCTTTCTGGTCAACCATAAAAGAAGGTGCTGCCCTGACAGTCAGGATTTTTCCACGATTCTTTTTTGTTCATATGTGCCGCTCTCATGATAACTACATACCCTCTGCATTACCAGTAACCCAAAAATATAATGACGACTGCATCACCTCCCTATTACCAGTAAGCTGGAAAATAATGAATTATTCCTAAAAAGTTTAGAATGTAAAATAACTTGCTTTTACCATACATCTACCAAGCCTATGGTTACTGGTTCAAATCTCCATGCCAACAAGTACACAAAAATAAGAAAACAAGAAGGTAAAAGGTAAAGTTCGATTCCGCCAACAAAAAAGAGAGTTTAAATTAGACATAAAACCAATTGTAATAGTCTATGAATGGGACTCACTCTCTGATCTCAGTTTTATAATTGCTATAGAAATTCATCACATTTTTTATAAAGTAAAACGATCAAAAAACAAGTAAAAAAGCAGCTAATATCGGCCGGGCCAAACGTTTAATACACTCCACCATTGTGAAGGAACTTAAAAAATTTCTAAAAAATGAAACCTCTTATATGGGACCTATGCGAAGACGTTGTCCTTCATAAGTAATTTCTTGTTATAGGCTGTAATACCTATTCCGAACTTACGAATACGAAATTCCGCTGAGTAATCACCAAAATACCGAATGTCGGCAGGTGAGGGCTATACGAAGACGTGTACCTGTATAGGCAATTTTCTGTCATAGGCTGTAGTATCCATTACGAACGTCAACTACAAAAGTTGAAACAATTCTGGGAAAAAGTCTCGCTAAAATCATCAAATTACCGAATATCGGGAGATATCGTTATATGGGGTCTATGAGAAGGCGTGGACCTTCGTAAGAAATTTTTCATCTTACGAACTTTAAATCATTTTCTAAGGAAACCCCCTAAAGCCCTTTGTTGAAAAAGTCCATCAGGTTTCCCACAACAGGTCTTAAAAAGTCAGACGATTAGGTCTTTTATAAAAGACCTTCAGATATTCAAAAAAAGAACGTTGTCTATAGAAGAAGGCCACCGAGTTTGATATGAAAGAAAACCTTTAGGTTTCCTACAGATGAAGACCAATCGATCTTTTAAGGAAGAAGACTATACCATACACGCCTACACTTTACTTTTCCCAACAAACAGTTCATCTTGTAGACCTCTAGAAACGAAAATAATTAAGGCTACTATAGAACAAAAAGAACTTCAGGTCTTTTGTGGAAGAATTGTATGAAAAACACCTCACATTAAGAAAAATGTTAAAACTTCTATAGAACAAAAATATCTTCAGATCTTTTGTAGAAGAGGACCATTTTGTCTTCTATGAAAGAAAACTGTCAGAACTTCTACGGAAGAAGGTATGCAAGTATTCTATAGAAGATCCCCAGATGTTGAATTGATGAAGACAGTAAAGTCTTTGATAGAAGAAGACCATCAGTTCTTTAATGAAAAACAAAAACTCTCGGTTCTTCTATGGAAGAACACCAGCAGACCATACAGGGACAAAATACCATTAGGTCTTCTGTGCTTCGGAATCAAGTCTTATATAGAAGAAGACCTACAGTTATACTGTAAAAGAAGACGATCATGTTTTCTACAATAAGAAGTGCATCCATGTGTTCTTTTCATGATAGTCGTCACATCTTCTATAAAAAAGAACTTTAGGTTTTTATAAAGGACGACTTTTCTGGCCTTCTGTGGAAGAAGACAAACAGTCCTTCAATAGAAAAAAGGCATAAGTCTTCGGCCGAAGCTGTCCTAAAATCTTCTGGAGAAAAAGACTTCTATCGAAGAAAACTTCCTTAAGGTTTCCCATAGAATACGACTTCTTTCAAGTCTTTTTAAGAAGAACACTTACTTAAGATCTTCCAAAGAATAAAACATTCTCCATATCTCCGACAGAGAAAGAATTTCATAAAGTAGTTTTTGGGATCGTATTCTTTTAATCCCTTATCTTAATTCCTAAAGATCTTCCAAAAAATAAGATTTCCCTCTGGTCTTCTATAAAAAAGATACCTCAAATATCTTCCATCAACTAGCCTTTATAGAAAAAAACTCTTGGTTCTTTTTAGGAAAATTTGAGCTTTAAGAAGAAATAAAGATTATCTTCTCCAAAAAAAAAAAAGTAATGATATTCCAAAAATTAAGCGCTTCAAGTCCATTATAGAGGAATATCTCCACAAGGCTTCTTGAGTGTCGTCAAAGAATGTCAACGAAATTTTAATAGAAAAGAGCTAAATACATAAGGGTGTATAATGAAAGATTTTTCATGTCTTATAAATCGTAGTTATGTCTATGGAGGAAGACCTTCAGGATTTCAATTAAAGAAGTTCTCAAGATATTCAAAAGGATATGTCCTTCAATTTTTCTAAATAAAGAGAAGATCGATAGGTCATCGTTAAAGATCTCCTTATGAAGACCTCTCCAGTCCTATTATAGGTCATTAATGCCATGTATAAAAGAAGGGCTTAAGATGTCTTATAAAAGACATAAGGTTCCTCTACACAAAATGACCTCAAATTCTTTTCGGTAAGGAGGCCATCTCGCTTTGAAGGTATTATTTTCAGAGAGAAAATACCTTTTCGTTCATTTCCGTTAAACTCTATGCAGAAGATCGAATTAGGGGTAAGAATGATCTGTATATGCAATATTCAATATATATCTACAGTTTTAAGTTCAGTTCTAGGATTGCAAGTGGAATTTTTCATAAGTAAAACAAGTGATCAAGTGGCGCTCGACGTGGGCCGACAAATTGCCATAGTTAATTTTTAATGTATTTCATAAAATATTTCGATCTAGATATGATTACAACGTATGGAGCATAGAAACATAATTGGGAGGCATAGTGCAGTATCTGTCTTATGGTTCAATGACGCCCAATCTGGGATAACGATCAATGGCTTCTTTTTATTATTGATTTCCGTTATACAATTCAGACGCATATTTTTAAGATTTCTCAAAATGTTCTTCCGTTTTTTCTTAACTTTCTTTACAGACGGTACTGGCAAAGACTTGTATTCTCCGGAGGCTGAAAGTTCGCCAGCACCCTCATTTGTGGATCCACCGGTAACTGGTTTGGTACCGGGTGCCGGCACCAAGCCCACATCACGCACAAGTAGTTTTGAAATAGAGAATTTATTGAAAACTGCGGAACAGGTAAGTCAAGGCAAACCTCCCCCGCCCCCCAAACCAAACGTCACCCGCTCACTGTTCAATGTTGTGGACCGTTGACACTTTTTAGATGTACACACATGAGGGGGGAAAGAGGGGAAAAAGGAATTGAAATACCCTACACCATCCTTTCCCCCTTTCCCCATACTCAATTGCAAACGAGGTCATAGTCTTAGGGGCAATTTGGGGAAGCAATCAAAAAAAAGGGGTAACAAATCTAGAAAACCATAATCATAACTTATTTACAAAGAACAGAGAAGAACCCAAATCAAAAATTAGAAAAAAAGAGAAAACAAACCTACAACATCATGTTCATGTTTCATATGTGTGGGTGTGTGTGTGTTATATTTTTATACCCTTGCGTGTGTGTGTGTTTGGTATATCGGCATTCCATTACTCATTTGTGGTTGTTGTATGTTTTCCCATGTTTTCTAATTTAGTTTAGTTTACATCTCATTATTATTTAACATCTATGGCCTCCAATTCACATTCGCACCGGGTGCACCAACTGCCGACCAATTCATCCACAACAACAACAAAAACACAACTAGCACCCAAAACCCAAAAGTTTTTGTTTTTTGCTACCCTTAGAAATGTTAGCAATCCCTACGACAGAAAAAAGACAAAAACAAACAAATACCACAATCATTGTGATTTAGATTTCCAGGGTTTTAAAAATCTCACCTTCCTCCACCCACTTCACCTAGCCTCCACATGTCATTTTTAAAACTTAACCAAAAACTGTTTTACTATTTTCAATTCTCCAAAAGGTCCTTGGACACTTGCTATTGTTGTCGGGGTTTTTTTTCTCCTTTTCTATGGAGGGTGTTTGGGAGGGTGGGATTTTGGGCTCTGGAGAAGCTTAACACCATTGTCCCTGTCTGTCAAGTGATTTTTTTTTTTTTTTTGTTCATCATCATCATCATCGTTTTTTGTTGCTTCTCTCACATGGTTGGTGGCTTTTTCGGACTTGTCTAAGTGTCTCAACTCAATTGTCTGTAAAGTGTTTTGGCCCCATACTTCTGGTGTGCATAGGTGAGTGTGGTAATGTATGTGTCAGCGTGTCTTTGGGGAGATATGTTTGTATGCAAATATTTACAAATTGTTCAGGGGCGTAGGGGAATATTTTTTTTTAAAACGTTAAAGGACGTTGAGGGTGAAAATGTCGAAATATCGCCAATTCGAAAAGAAAGCAAAGATAGCAAACTGATTGGGGACTTTGAGGAGTTGTAAGATCATATGGGAACTATGGTCAAGTGGCGCCCAATGTGAGTCAATTACTACAATCCAAGATTCTGATATAAAATTGTAAGAATGAAATCAATAATGGGGTTGCAACACTTCCACAGGGATTTGATTAACTTTCTGATCTTTTGAGAAACTTTATGGTTAAATGGCGCCCAACGTGGGGCAAACAACTTCCAAGGCCATTTAAAATTCTTAATATACTTCATAGCATATCAAACCCAAAATGCAATATCCCAGCAAACAGTATACCAGCAAAACTTTTTGTGAGATATTTCGCCCAAATGCTAGAGTTTAATGGCGCCCAACGAGGGGTAATCAAGTTCCAGATTTAAAGATACAGTTATGCACACATTTAATATGTTTACGAAAGTGGCGAAAATTTCTATTTTATACCCCCAATCATATGGATGGAGAGGGTATGCATCGTGAGATGAAAAAATTGCAACCAATTTCAAACTGCTGCCATTTCTAAGCCACTCGTCCGACAGCTGTTAAAATTATTCCACTGACAGCTCATTATATTGTTTACAAGCGTACAAAAGCATTTTGATGAGAATTTTCCAGAAAAAAAGTTATTCCTGATGGAATTCAAGCGTGATAGTGTGATTTCTTTATTTTTGGCTGGAGAACCACAAGTGGCTATCGTTATAGCACTCCAGCATTTAAATGTGAATAAATCTTTTGTGTCTCGTACCATCGCTCGTTACCGTGATACTGATAGAGTAGCCAGTAGCGACGTCAAGAAAGTGGAGGGAAGAAAACAGCAACATCAGCAGAAATGGTTCGAAAAGTAAAAAAGCGACTTGATCGAAACCCGCGTTGCAGTGGCCGAAAAATGGCTGCTGAGCTGAATATATCGCAATATTCCATTCGGCAAAAATTGAAAAATGAGCTCGGGGTAAAGCCATTGAAAATCCAAAAAGTGCAAGAAAATAGCCTCAAAAGAGCTAAAGAGTTGCTTCGCTTGGCCGAAAATGGTGTACTGCAGAATTTGGTTTTCTCCGTCTCCGATGAAAAAACTTTCGTTGTCCAGCAGTTTGTAAACAAACAAAATAATCGTGTCTGCTTGTCAAAGAGGTCAGCTGAAAATGTGCACCTTCCGTTGGCCACTAGAACTCAAGCGCCAGTCATGGTGATTGTGTGGCCGCCATAACAGCCGATGGTCGCTCTCCACTCGCATTAATCAACCATGCCATCAGAATAAATGCCGAATATTATCGTGAAAATATTCTGGAGGGTGTATTAAAGCCTTTGGCAAAAATTTTGACCACAGACATTGGACATTCCAACACGACTCAGCACCATCGCACTCAGCATGGACCACCCAAGAATGGTTACAAAATGAGGTTCATCGCTTCATTTCCATCGCACAATGGCCACCAAAATCACCGGATACCAATCCGTTAGACTATTGTGTCTGTCTGAGGTATTTTGGAAAGCAATTTGCCACTAAAAAATACCAAAGTGTCGATCACCTCAAGCAATCGCTTCGCCGGGAATGGGCAAAAAAAAACATCAGCACCGCACATTTAAAATTAAAAAAAAAATGTAAAACTTATGGCGTTTGACTTTGTAGCAGTTTTCTTTTTTATCTCACCATGTGTATGGGAGCTATATCCAAATCTGAACCGATATTGATAAAATTTGCCAGAAGTATTTCAAAGCTCTATCAGATATCTGGAACCAAATATCATTCTTGTCGAGTGCCTATTACGAATGTGATGGACTTAAACACCAAATCGGATGAAACATATATATGGGAGCTATAGCTATATCTGAACCGATTTTCGTCAAATTTGATGTACATACTTGCTTCTATACTGAATTCTGTCGGATGTGCCAAAATTCAGATCATTCGGACTGATTTTGGCCATTTGGTACTCAATTATCCCGCTACATTCAAATCTGATCCGATCTTGATAAAATTTGATAGAGGTATTTCTGGGCTGCATCGGATGTCTGGTACCAAATATCATTGTTGTCAAATGCATATTACGAATGTGAGGGACTTAAACACCAAGTCGGATGAAATATATGTATATGGGAGCTATAGTTATATCTGATCCGATTTTCATCAAATTTGATGTACTTGCTTCTAGACTGAATTCGATCGGATGTACCAGTATTCAGATCATTTGGACTGATATTGAAAATTTGGTGCACAATTAACCTGAAATCGGTTGAAAATATATATGGGATCTATATCCAAATCTGAACCGATATTGAAAAAATTTGGCAGAAGTATTTCCGAGCTCTATAAGATATCTGGTACCAAATATCATTGCTGTCGAATGCATATTTCGAATGTGAGGAACTGAAAAACCAAATCGGATGAAACACATATATGGGAGCTATAGCTATATCTGAACCGATTTTTATCAGATTTGATGTACTTGCTTCAAGACTTAACTCGGTCGGATGTGCCAAATTCAGGAATTTTGGATAATAATTGGCCATTTGGTGCACAATTAACCCGAAATCGGTCAAAGTTATATATGGGAGCTATATCCAAATCTGAACTGATCTTGATATAATTTGACAGAGGTATTTCCGAGCTCTATAAGATATCTGGAACCAAATATCATTGTTGTCGAATGTATATTACGAATGTGAGGGACCTAAAAACCAAATCGGATGACACATATATATGGGAGCTATAGCTGTATCTGAACCGATTTTCTCCAAATTAGATGTAATTGCTTCTAGACTAAATTCGGTCGGATGTGCCAAAATACAGATCATTCCGACTGATATTGGCCATTTGGTGCTCAATTAACCCGAAATTGGTTGAAGATATATATCGGAGCTATATCCAAATCTGATCCGATTATCACCAATTTCAATAGGGTTCGTCCTTGGCCCAAAGAAATATTGTTTGGAAAATTTCATCTCCGTCGGATAATAAATGTGACCTGCATTTTTGTTCACAAGAATACATGGACAGACAGACGGACGGACATAGAGACTGATATGCATAAATTGACTCAGAAAATGATTCTATGAAGACCCTCAATTGTAACTATGGGTCTATCTCGCTTCCTTCTCCATGTTACAAACAAATGCACAAAGACTTAATACCCTTACCACTATGTGGTGTAGGGTATAAAAACACTTAAGGATCCATGAAATAAATCTTGAAAATCCAAGCTTAAGCCCACAATCATCGTCTTGAGGTATTCTAAGAAAATCTTAAAAAAGTCTACGTTTGTCTCTTAACAGATCTGAAATCCACCTCTTATTCTGGGGCGACAATATCCAAACAGAAAAACAAGCTGTAAAATGTAAAATAAATACCCTCCACCATTTGGTACAAATTTAACAATTTTCAAAAAAATAAAATCCGTTAAAAATTTTGTTAATATCTTGAAAATACCTAATGTAGCCGTATATTAGAGTCTATACGACGACGTGGACCTGCATAGGCAACTTTTGTCACAAGCTATTACAATATTCAAATGCGAAACTGCGAAGAAAAAATCTGTTTATAATGTAGCTAAAATCACCAAACTCCCGAATATAGGGGGTGCCGTGGTGGTTATAAAACGTGGATCTACCCAGACAATTTTCTGTCATAGGCTGTAATATCCATTACGAACTTCAAATGCGAAATTTGAAACAATTTCGGTAAATAATGTCGCTATAATCATCAAAATACCGAATATCGGGAGGTACCGTTATATGGGGGCTATACGAAGACGTGGACCCACATGGTCCATTTTCTGCCTTAAGCCGTAGTA